GTCTGAATACTTTCCGTACCCACTGTATATATATATATATATATGTATACATAAGTAATTTCAGTTAATGCTTTTTTGTTTATGGTTTTAGTTTATGCTAACAACCCTGATTACATTCACTATACTAACTATAGTTCTCCTAAACTATAGTTCTCCTAAAACGTCACAAACTAGCTCCAAAGGCTTTATTTACCCACACTTTGTTAGATCTGTGAAGATTGAGGCCAGAGATCCGAAAGCTTGTGTAAATGGGGCAAAGCGTCTATAAGGGGCTAATGAGGAGTGCGAGATAGTCAATGCAATTTTAATGTCTTGCAAAAGCTTCAAAACCATTCTAATACTGCAATACGTTCAATATGAAGCACAACCTTACACCTGGAAAACGGTCAGTCACATTCAAGCAAATAGAAAATAGTTCATCTGCATATCAAAAATAGCCCGTCGTTTTAGCATAACCGTAAACAGAAGGTGGAATTATGATCAAAAGTACACTTGTCTATATGCATAATACATACATATATATATATATATATATATATATATAAGAAAGTTCATGCTTTTGCAGATCGTAAAATCTTACATACAAACGTCTTCTTCGGCACAAAAATGCTGTTTAATAATAGATAATATGACAACAATAACACTTGTTTTCAGTGATAATACTTCAATGATGCTCATAACCACCAAATCCAAATGCCACATACTTTTTTTATTTGGAATATCTCAATAAAACAGGCAATAGGAAGAAATAGTCCATAAAGGCTTTCATTAGAGGATGCAAAAACAATACAAAGTCACTGCAATCGAAGGTAGCTCTTGCAGAGTTCATGGTCCCTGATGTCTCCCCAGCCTCCGTTTTTGACGTGCGGAGCCACTCCTTTGGCTCCGGAAGCTGGGAGTCTCTTTGTAATGAGCAGCTGTTTGGGGAATAGCTGGTTCCCGCTGCTTTGGAGAATGTTCTCGATCTTCGTCTTCTGGCTGGATGGCATGCAAGCCGACTTCTTGTGGTGCATGCCGCAGTCTCCGGCGTGGAAGACGCGAGGCGCCTCGCTGACCATGACCTTCAGGAACGTGGGCAAACAGGTCACGGTGAGGTGCTGCAACGACCAATCCCAGTTATAGTCGTCGTAGGTGCAGAAGGCATCGGTGCATCTGAGGAGTTTCTGGTAGGTATCTCTGTTCAGCGCCATTCCCATGTTATGCTCGGTGGACTTCCATGCTTTCACCTCCACTTTGTTGGCTTTGCTGGAGTAGCTGACGTGTCCGTAGCTTCCTAGAGACAAGATGTCGCAGTCGGGACACTGCTCTTTCTTGAGGGACACCATGAGTTTGAGAAGGTGGTAGAAGTCGGGGGCGAGGTAGTGGTCCTCTTCGATGAGCAATAAGAGTCCTTGGTGTTCTTTCAAGACTCGGACTCGATCCCAAACGAAGTGCAGCTTCCACCACCAATGGTGTTTGGTCTGCGAGAACTTGGCTTCCCGATAGTGTCCGAAGGAGTCTGGGTACTCTGCGTTTAAGCAGCCTAGGGTTAAGGCATCTTTCTTGGGAATGTCTCGAGGGCAATCTCTGGGGTCGTTCCCGGGGAACTCTTGAGGATAGAGCTGGATGCTGAAGGGGAAGATTATCTGAAGGACCAAGCAGAAGTCGACGGACGTGACTATCCGGTTGATTTCCGGCGACCAGAAGTCGTGGCTGAATATCAGCAAGACGTTCTCGATTCCTTTCGCTTTCCTCAAGCTGTCCACCAACAGGCGTAGGTATTCGGGACGGTTGTGAACTTGGACGACGACGACTAGGTCGTCCTTCTGGCGCACGGAACGAAACTTCTCCTCGTTTCTTAGTGTCTGGTCGAAGTTGAGTTGAAAGACGATTCCTCTGTACACCAGAGTTGCGTTGTCCGCTTCGGATTTGGCAGCTGCCTGTAGTTGTACTTGTAGTTTTTCCGGAAGAGTTTCGTTGATAGTTTTACGGGTTACTGGGATCGTGACATGTATTTGTTCTTGACCACCAACGCTACTCCGTTTACCCGTTTCCACCTCTTTGGGAAACTTTTTCGGTTTCCCGCTATTCCAGACGGCGAATCCGCAGATGACCACCACTACAGTCAGTATTACCACCTTTCGCTTGTAAATTCGGAATCTCATGATAGGCAGTCGCCTCACGGGACGGTCGGAGACACGATTCGGGAGACGAGGACGGCAGGTTTGCGATGCAATAAAAGTCTGCGCCAGCAGATTGGGTACAAAACGTTATCATAGAAAATGCAGCTTATTCTTGGTCCTCTAATTCTGGAATGTAATCGAATGACGGTGTTTCCCATAAGGCATTTTTCTTAGAGTCGCCTTTTAAAACCTGTGGAAAATGAATCAAAAGGGTGATTTTTAATTAGCACGGTCTGAGGTATATTTGCAAAAGACTCTGAATTCACCTTACAAAAAAATATTAATACTCATTGTAAACAATGGAATTTTAGTAACTACACCCAAAAAATATTTAGGCCCAAATTGAAGATTTATGTATTTGAATTGCATATGAAATTTCCTAATGTTTGGATTACATTGTTTTACAAACAAATAAAAACTTGATGCATGATGTTAGGCCTCTAACGCTAGCTTGCTATATTCTTTTTCTATTCTGTTTTCTTTTTATTATATAATAAAAAAATACCTTGCTGTGTACTGCGTTAAGCTAACCGAGACTTGTTATAGCACTTGCGTATCATTGCTCTTTTGTTGGTTTTGATTGCTTCCATTGTCTTTATTTGTAAGTCGCTTTGGATAAAAGCGTCTGCTAAATGACTAAATATGTATATATATCAGGGGCGTAGATTACGCGGGGGACGTGTCCCCCCCACTTTTAATATCACGTAAATTCGTCCCCCGCACTTTTTCGGGCAAGTGTGTTCGCAAAGAGGTTTTCAAGAGCCGGTGTGAATAAATATAGATTTAAATTCAAAGAGACAGGATAGTCTGTGCATGATCTGATGTTTTATTCGGACCCAGATTAAGGCGAGATGAACATCGCGGAGCGCTAAACACTCGTGCAGTGTATGCTTCATTCATACTCGAAGCCGGAGGGCGCTCTCGCGCAGGAAGTCGTACGAGGAAATGGACAAATATATAGATTACAGAAATGTTATATTGTAATGTTTATATATGTTATATTAATATATATATATATATAACATTTCTGTCCCCCTCACTTCTGAAATGATGGCTACGCCCCTGATATATATATATATATATATATGTTTGTCAATCATACATGAAAGAAACAGGTCAGATTTATCCAGTTTATTGTTAACTATTTGCATCTATTTGTTTGTATTTAATTAATTATATTTTTAAAAGGTGTTTAATTTTTTGCATCTATTTGAATGTATTTAAACAATTCTGTTTTTAAAATGCATGCATTCAAATGGCTTGGAATCAGCATAAATTTGTTCACTGTAAAAAACTATTACATGTATGCAGTTACAAAAACAAAAACGTTGAAATATGGTTAGCTGTGGAACAAGCAGTTTTCGGTTTTGAAACAATGCAGATTTATTGATGATAAATATATAAACCTGGTTACTGTGTATTTAAAACACGTAGAAATCTGACCCTTTTCATTTATGCATGACTGACAAATATGCATCAAATTAAGTTTAGTTTGTTTATGGTAAAACTGCAATCCAAATGCATGGAAATTATATATTTAGGCCTACATATTTTTGAATCTAAGCAATGCATCTAAAAGATATCATTTACATAAAATGACAAAGTACACAAAAATACCCCCCCCAAAAAAAGCATTCAAGAAAGGATTATTTGCTGAAAAGCCAAAACCTCTTAATGTGGCCTATTGTTAGATCGCTGCTATTTTTATGGCTGACCAAAGGCAAAATGCATGGCTCAAGTATTAAAGCTGATTGTATTTCAAATGCACAACACACTCTGTGATATATTGCATTGTGCATCAAATCTTTCTCTACCAAGTGCACTAAGAAACATGAGATTAATAGTATTAAAACAGTGTTAATATAACAAATGTGGCCCTGGATTCAACCCACAGGGGTCCAGACCTAATTACTAGTCTCTGTGGATTTAACCTAAAGAGCCGCTAATTACAAGACTAGAACAGATAGTACAGATAATAATAAAATACAAAAATAATGTTTCCAATACAAAGAAACTGTTCGCTGTAGCTTCTAAATAGTGCAATCAGATGATTTACATGATTTCCCACATGATACAAATGTAAACAGATTCTTAAAAGTGGTATTTTATATCAATATATACCGTCTTGTGTACAGTTACAGAATGATACTGAACGCAGTTTAGATTTAAACTATTTTAACTTAACGTACAAGTGCAGCACTCATGGCGAGAGATTTTACGTATATTAGATTCCACATTCTATACTTTATATTATTTTCCTTGCTTGTATGTCTAGTTTGCACCGTTGTCTTTACTGTCAATGTCCAGTCTGAACCAAATATTTCACAGTAAACACTATGTGAGATAAATGACAAAAACAACGTAGTATGAACTACAGCAAAATATAAAAACATTATTTTGAACCTCTCAAATGGGGAAAAAAACAAAACACTCGCATGCATTAATGAAAGTACAAGCATGCAATCTAATGAAACCTTGATTCAATGATGCATATCATGAGTGCTGCTTAAATTAATGCATTACAGATTATCCTAACATCTATCAAGACTACTAATACTACAGTAGTACTGCATATGATTCACTAAATTACCACAATCTGCAGTGAATCACCAAGACAAACACCCCTTAATTTCTACATAGATGTCGTGATCTGTGTGCTTTTAGCAGGTTAATGCATTATATTTTTATGACCATGAATGCTATGAATAAACCTGCGGGAAATACATTGCACGGCACGCGCTTAACCACAATATGCGGGAAACGCGACCATGTTTACACCATATTTGCACGACTGTCGACTAATGCAATTCTAGAGCGTCATAAAAGTGAGAAAGCATTTGACTGCACAAATATGCACAGGCTAAAGTTTAAAAATAAAGAAGTATGCATTCATTGCAGCTGCATGCTAAAGCGAGCAGCGGCGCGAGCCAGAAAAAGCGTTAAAGCCAAAAGCATGCCATTGCATTCAACACAAGCTGTATTTTGTTGATATTACTCGTTTTAAATGACAGATAATCGATGCACGCGAATGCATACCGATGTGTGTATTGTGGTGATGCACTGTCACTCGTTAGCTTCGCTGCTACCGATTCTTAAAGCGGAGTATTGAAGAGCTGGCGCATGCAGATCCACACGAAACACAGAAACGCAAAGAAAACCAAAGCCTCACCGCAGATGCAGGCATGTATGGTGGCTGTCATGTCCACATAAAAGCGCATTTTAATTGAAAACGCGTGCCATACTGCTCAGGCTCCACATTATCAGCACACCTCTGGGGGCCTCCGCTGTCAGGACCCGCGTGATGTCACATTTCACACAATATTCGCGTTTTGTGCTTAATGCGTGCAATGCATGCAACAAAGCTCATGTTAGATATATTTCGCGAGCGTAATGATTGTTAGGGTTCCTTCCACTTTGTGACTAATTTGTCTAATTCTTGCATGGGAACGTTATGGACATTATCTATTTATTCTGGACAAAATCTATTTTAAATATATGGTAAAAATGTTGTAAACAGTGAAGCTCAATATACTTTTGAAACAGAAAATATATAAATTTTCAACTTACCAAAATATATTTCAAAATGTATTTCGGGGCAAGAAAATACATATTTGTTTACACAACAAATATGGTTTGCTTTAAATGTGACCTATTTTCTTGGATATATTTTTAAATGCTTTTATATATATATATATTTTTTTTTTGAAAAATATATAAAAACATGACTAACATATTATGTTGGTATAAAATATATTTTTGTAAATATATTTTTAAACAAATTGTATGCAAATAATTTTTTATTACATTTTTTTTATTTAAAAATATTTTATTATTTTAAAATATGGGTTTTTCCGGCCTAATCAGTGCCCTATTAAGGATTTAATAAAAAATATGTCTAATAATTATAAATTAACATACAAATAAATAAGACAAAAATAAAATGAAACGGTCACCTTCAAAATACATTCAGAAATGTACCCGAATTTTTCAGAAATGAAGCCGTTTAAACTGCTTTCCTTTTAAATTATGACCATATAGAGTCATAAAATAACTTGAAATCTATACAGAAAATAAAATTGGGTTTTAATTCAGTAACTTTAGCTACACTTGTGTCCCTGCAGCATTATATTTGTAGCAATAGCCAACAATATATTGTTTGGGTCAAAATTATCCATTTCTCTTTTATGCCAAAAATACATTGGATATTAAGTAAAGATCATGTTCCATGAAGATATTTTGTAAGTTTCCTACCATAAATATATGAAAACTTAATTTTTGATTAGTAATATGCATTGCTAAGAACTTCATTTGAACAACTTTAAAGATGATTTTCTCAATATTTTGTTTTTTTTGCAGTTGACCCTTATTACAATCATTGTTGTTATTTTTAATGTATGCGCCTCTAGACCGCTAAGCGGCGCTGTTGACGCAGGAAGCGCTCGGCTCCATAGAAGGAGCGCGTCTTTTTTGCGCCTGCGCACAAGCGCCACTTCCTTTTCTTCATCCCGATCGAGAGAGACGAGATGGGCCACCAGCAGCTCTACTGGAGTCACCCCAGAAAATACGGCCAGGGATCCCGATCCTGGTCAGTTCTGCTTCAGCATTGTGTTTAATGTGAAGGGTCTGTGTATGCGCGTGTGTTTGAGCGTCGTGTGATTATTATAAGCGTCTGATTGTGAAGCACATGGCTGATGAAGAGGCGCCAATATGGCGGCGGCTCCCGCTTTAACTCGGCTAGCTCTAGTGATGCTCTGCTAATACGGCGTCTATGAAAGTTTTAAACCTTAAAGAGATAACGTTAGTTCACCCTAAAATAGAAACTCTGTTATTAATTACTCGTTCCAAACCCCCAAGACCTTCGTCTATCGGAACACAAATTAAGATATTTTTGATGAAATCCGAAAAACGAAGGTCTTACGTTTTTGGAACGACATGAGGACAAGATTTTTCATTTTTGGGTGAACAATCCCTTTAGTATTTGCAAAGTATTAGCTGCTATTGTTTTCCGTGTCATTAAAGGGATTCAAAAGTTCACTTTAAAATAACAAATCCTATCTTTAACGTTACTCAAGCCTCGTGTTTCAAAACCTGCACTGCAAAAAACGATTTTCTTAGTATTTTTGCCGCCTTTTTTAGTTTAAATATCTAAATTCTTGAATCAAGAAACATTTACTTTACAAGTAAAATGACTTGTTTTTATTTTTGTTGTTGTTTGTTGCTTAAAACATGCAAAAATGTCAATGGGGCCACCAAGAGCTTGTAACACTCCAAAGAGAAAGGAAAAAATGAAATTGCATCATATGACCCCTTTAAGATTATTTTTCTTACCACATTAGCTGATATTTTTGCTTGTTTGAAGCAAAAACTTTTTTTTTTTTATATAGAAAACATGACTTCTGATATCAAGTCACTTTAGTGGTCAGGTGAATGCATCTTGATTCAAGATTTTTTTTTTTAATATTTATAATAGAACATGAAAAAAACCCTAAATTAGAACATAATTTTTTTTTTTTGTGCTGTTTGCATTTCTTTCTTCTGTTGAACCTAAACGATATTTTGAAGAATATGGATAAACAAACAGTTGCTGGTCCCAAATGACTTCCATAGTATGAAACAAAACAGTCAATAGGGACCACAAACTCAAGTAAATGATGACAGAATTTTCATTTTCGGGTGTACTGTCTCTTTAAATGAAAGTATGTACTTATAAGCTTTCCCTTGATGAAGTGCGAGTCTCGTGGCGTCTTCGCCAAATATCTCAGTTTGAAGTTGAGTTTTAATATGAAAGGTTGATTGCAGATTATAATTATAAACTTAACTGATAATTTAATTAAATTGGTTTTCGTTAATTATTTTGATGCATTTCAAATATTAACCACAAGGCTTATTAATAGTGAGGTGCTAATTAATAGTGAAAGTAGTAGTTAATCAAATCATAAATCAGTTTTGTGTTTTTATATATTTTGGATTCAGCGGTCTCTAATTGCTTTTTTTTTTTTAAATGCATGCTGTCTTCTAGAAAATGAGTATGAATGCATTTCTAACCTGTTGTCTTGTTTCCTCCAGCCGGGTTTGCTCAAACAGACACGGTCTGATCCGTAAATACGGACTCAACATGTGCCGTCAGTGCTTCAGACAATACGCTAAAGATATCGGCTTCGTCAAGGCAAGTGTTCATGCTTTTTAACTGTGTTCGAGTTCTGCTCTTCAGCAGGTGCTCATAGTTAAACCATGCATGCTTATTTTGGAAGCTAACATGAATGTAGAGTTTGCATTCGACTGCTTTAATAATTTAGATGCGTGACTTACTGATGCATCATAAAACAAACCTAACTATGGTCTCTCTCTTTATCCAGCTGGACTAAACTCTTGAGTGTGTGGAGTTGACAAGCTCACATCATGAAGTTACTCTGGAACATTCAATAAACATCGCTTTTGTTTCTGTTCAGATGTCGCAGTGTGTTTTTCTTCATTATAGAGACGATTGAAAAAGGGTTGCGAGATGTTTGAATTTGGTGATCTGAAGGTTTATAGATGGTTATGCTTTGTTTCCACAAATTTCACGTACGTGGATCTGGAAGTGAATCCTAGTTAATGATGCTTGTCTATGGTTAAAATAAAGGAGGTATCGTTTGGCTGTAATCATTTTGCAGTAAATTGAAATTGTAGACTTGGGAATGTTGTGTGTAAACCTCACCAATTATATATGCAAATAATATTACACCTAAGCAAACTTGAGATGTAAAAATATGATTTTGACCAAAGTGTGTGTGTGTATATATATATATATATATATATACATATGTGGATAGATAGTTTTTACATTTAGCAGACGCTTTTATCCAGAGTCACTGAAAAAGGGTTGAATTAGAATAACTTGTACACAACTACAATAAAATTGTTTTTTAATTCTCAGTGTAATTAAATAAGAACAATATGCAATCAACAGATACATAAGAATAAATAACTCCACTATTGAGTTGTGCAAAAATTAATACAAACATCCGCAACAACGCCAGTACTGATACAATAACATGTTTGTTTAATTTATGCGTGTGCCATAAAAGTAATTCATGCCATGGTTTTTAAAAATAGTGGTAGTAATAATAATGCCACTATTCATATTTTGCACAGACTGTACATTAAGCTAACAGTGTTACTGTACAAAGCACAGTTAACTATTTCTATAAAAATGTTATTGCACTACTCATTTTGCATAGACTACATTTTAAAACAATACTATTGCACACACAACCATCTGTATTTATTACCACGGTTCTTACATTGCTGCTGTCCATACTCCTAAGTATATTCTGTACATACTTTGTTTAATATTGTATATAGCAACTCCACTGTACAGTACTGTAAGTTATAGCGTCACTTACTCTCTATATGAAACCACTGATCTTTATATAATGTTCTCTATTATAGATCAGTGTTCTGTCGCTTTATTATTTTTTGATCGGGAAGCGAACGCCCGACAGTAACCATAGCAACAGTAACTATACACCCAACAGCAGTAGGAAGTGTTCAGCCGGCCGATCGCTGGAAGGTACGGCCACCTCGTGGCGATTCCAGCCTCTGTTTATATCATGAATATTAATTAGGATACTTGATTGGACGCGCAACCACCGACGCCCTCAGCACGCGCTAATTAATATTCATGAGGAACGCCTCCACTTGGGTGGAGTTTTATAATTTTATTTTCACAAGACTGTGATGACGCGTTTAACTTGTCATCAGCATCATAAATTGCCGTTATCAGTCTCTCTCAAATTTTTTCCTTTTATTGAAAGTCAGGAAAACACTATTGTGGAGTTTTTCTATTGCTATTTGAGCAAATTGAAATGCAAAAAAAAAAAATATATATATATATATATTTGTGGTACTCTCCCATTCACTGCTCTTCAAGTTAACCCAACTATGACGACTTCCGCTGCTGCTGAGAAACCCGGAAATGTGAAAAAGTTATTTGATGTTGGCTACACGTTCGTCACGTTTAACGTTCAATAATTTAAAGCAACGGCTTAAAAACGGACCAAAATGACGTTTAAAAGAAGCAAACAGAAATTAGCAGGAAATACAGGGAAGTAAAATGCACATTTGTGTCCTAAAATATCTCAACATGAATGTTTCGTAAATGGGAGTTCATCAATAACATTTTGTTTAAAAGTGAACCAGGAAAAATGAATACGAAAAAGTCATCATTACGATATTTTTTGTTACAAGTTATCAAACAAACGACATATTTTAATGTTAAAATATTAATATAGAATGAATGCAGTTATTAATACATAAAAAATTAGCGTGTATAGCGAAAAACGCCCGTTTTTTTTGTACCTGTGTAAGTGGGTAAACGAGTGAAAACACCGCATGGAAACAGCGCCACCTGCCTGCTGGAGGAATGAATGCAACGTTGCCTCCCAAACCTGAGGTGAGTTTGTTACATTTTTCAATCAAAATTGTTCAAAACAAAAGAGTATTTTATGTTTTTAAGTGTTTTGTTATAAACATGTTAAGAAGCTGCTGTCACGTGTTTGGTGTCGAAATCACCGTGTTTTATTTCAAATGATAAAAGTTGTGTTGTGACGAGGCGTTTAAATGCCATTTTTTACGCTTTATGTTGCTGTATGTAAAGGACGGGTTTATCTTCCAGAATTATATTTCTATGTATATATATATATATATATATTTTTTTTTATTTTTTTA